GGGGGGGGGGGGGGGGGGGGGGGGGGGGGGGGGGGGGGGGGGGGGTTGTTGTCCTGTGTGCGAAAACACGGGTAGAGGGGAGCTAGCGGATTTCCTCGGTTCGCGCTAGGACCCGGGTGCTGATGTGGAGGAAGGTTGGCGAGGTGAACGACTTGGCCCTGGGTCTGAGAGACAGGAGGGCCGGCGCTGCCACCTGTCGGATTAACGTACTGCCGGCGACCAAAGGCCAAGAAACGAATCGAGCAGACCGATGAACTTTTAGTTCGTTGCGGTGGTCTGCGCGTGAAATCGTTCAGAGACTGCCAAAATATAGTCGCAAAACGCTTGGATAGGAGGAGACGGTCGTTGTACTGTGAAGAGCATTACGGACGGCATATTGCTACTCGGTTGGCGATGTGGTATATCAACAGAAAACGCGTTGGCGGTGGAATTTAAATTGCCCCGCTCCGTGCCTCTGATTCTGGCAACAGGTAAAACAAGCATCCGTCGGCATCGACCCTACCACACAACTGTATAATAATCGTTGGGGCGTTCTTCCGGCAACAGCCAGTCCACTTTACCGCCCACCAAACCCCTCACTGAGTTCGGCACTCCGATCGTTCGACCATTCTCAGAAAGGGAAAGACGAAGACAAAGCCGGTGTTTCAATATCGTGGCCGCAAGCCACGATTTGAAGTACTGCACTTCGGAAAGCGGCGTGAACCAAATGTTCACCACTCTATACATTGCCATATGTCCCACTCCTCCCGTCGGTTTCACTAGGGTTGCAGTGCGGGGAACTCCCAACAGGCGTCGTAGGCTAACCAAACCTTCCACAAGGGAGGGACGGGATCAGACGGTCACGTATTAGACAGGCTGACTCGCCACCCGAATATGTCGCGAAATCCCGTGCGAACACAGAACGTTGGGCAAGGCGTTCAGCTTCTGCCTACACCCACAACCTTGGCCCAGCGGGTCGTCAAGCGTGCTTCCTCTGTTCGCGATACGGCTCCTCTCGGCTTCTTTACACTCTCACCCCAGTGTGACGTTTTCGACTGTCACCAAAAAAGACGCGAACAGAGGGATACGGCCGGTGCAGCGCAAAACACTCAGAAGGGCGTGAGCAGGGCACGTGTGATGAAACAAAGTGCACGTCGTTGCGGTGACGTGAGCGAGATGACACACCAGACGTGTAGAAAATGTTTCAAGCCAACGGCAACAACGAAGACTGGTGCGACCAGTGGCGACATACGCTTTGTAAAGGAGGAAACGCTTGTGCCGTTCGATCGCAAATATTTACAAGGTGGGAATTTTATCGAGGAAAACAAAGTACATTGTCCAGCAGCCACCGCGCAGAGGTCGTAAAAACCCTAGGGGAGGGTGCAAACGTGTATGGGATATACCCGCCAAAATTCGGTGCATTTGGACGAGGGCGTAATGTTCAACCCTCATGTTTAATCAGGGCAACGTTCCGATTTCAAAGCCTAACCATCACCAGGCACTTTCTCTGGTCGAGTCAGGCACTTTCTCTGGTCGAGCCTAAGTGTCGGACAAGCGGGAAACATCTGGCCCACTGTGGGGTGCTTGTGTCACAAGACCCCGCCGCGGTGGCCGTGTTGTGCGTCAAGCGGAGAATTATGGGCGTTGTAAGATGAAGCGAGGTGCAGGGACTGAAGCAAGAAGTACTGAATAAAAGAAGTGGAGCGAAAATCTTCAGAGAGTGGCAAAGTAGTGGCAGTGGTGCGGCCGGATCCCGTCCATTAAGTCATCGTGGGCTTCAGAAACAAAAATCCTACCTCGGAGTACTTTTGACTAGAACCTCCGCTTCGCAACCGACGGAAAGGATAAGATAGAGCAGGGGCGTTCCACTGTCGTTACACACTTACTTGACAGCTGTGTTTTTGCTGCAGCAGTATGGACTAGACGCCGAACGACGTCCGCGTACTACGGCAACGACCGAACTGGGTGGGATACTTCCTGCCACGGCGAACCATACTACAATGCGATGCAAACATCCGTTCGTGTGTCGTGCGGCTGCCACATGTGTCGACGACAGGTACACGCAGAGCTCTCGCCATATTGTCGTTACCGCGCAGGTGGACCCCTGGGAGATCTCCCGCATGGTGCTGCAATGACAACAGCAGTACTACTGCTGTACATAGATGTCGTAGGAGAGTAAGTTGTGCTGTCACGGCATCTTCCACGCACTCTCCTACCGGTGCTTGCGTCGATTGGAGTCCGAAATACAAGAGTGGGTTGGGTTCCCGGGTTGGTTGTGGAAGCAAACCTGCCTGCAACAACAGGGGATGCGGTGTTATATTTGTTATCCCGCTCAACATTTTTTTTTTTTGCGACATGGTTGCATTTTTTCTTTGCCACTGCCGAAAACCGCTGGATCTTTACGCAGAACATCTTTCGCATTTATCATTTTAGACAGAACGACGCAGGACGGGTCGACCTCATCATGCCCACCGTCGACTTTCGTATCGATCAGACGCCGACTGTACATAGTCGTAGGAGTGTGAAGTTCGCTGTGTTGTGACGGTGTCTTCCACGCACCCACTCCTCCTACAAACCGTCCGTGCTGGTGTGTCGATGGGAGTCTCGTACGTCGGGATGCAGCAGTGAAATTCTCGAGTTCTTTATGGAAGCAAGTTTGCCTGCAACAACTAGAGAAAAACATGCGTATATATATACATTTTTTTTCCCTGGTGTATCTCGACCTACAAGACTCCAAACGACAAACCAGCACTGGCAGAAGTGCGTGAAAGATGCCGTGACAGCACAACAAAGTCGACACTCGTACGACTTCTATGTGCATACAGTCGGCGTCTGGTCTAGAAGCACAAAAATCGAGCCATTAATTTTTTCCTTTTTTTCCATACTAGACTAATGACAAGAAGTGTTCACGTCACAACGACCATCCTGTGAGTATAGGCTAGATTCACTTAACATCATGTCGGAAGCCTGAGACGCAAGAGCTCAACCATTGTTGCAATCTAAAAGCAAGGCGTTGTTTTTCGGTGGATCAGTTCGCGGTCGCCTTGAGACTTTTTTTTCGCCGGCTGTTGCCCGCTGCAGCGGGCCAGTCTCTGGATCACAGCGCCCCTGCAGCGAGCTCGAAACTCCAAAGGCGTAGAGTTACAGCACGTTAAATGCACGCAACCACATTTCAGTCATTGAGCTAGACGTTGCGGTGCGGTAAATCGGTTATAAATCTTTTTTAATGAGGTTTAAACATTTTTTTCGGCCATCTTCGCCGACGTGGGCGTGCCTTTCTCACGATCGCAGCGCCCGTGTCGCGAGCTCTAGACTCCAAGGGCGAGCCGAGTTACAGCACCGTGAAGTACGACTAAATCTCCTGCATCCGGGCGCGTCTACGTACGGTAGGGACTGTCACCTCAAAAAACCACGAAGCTCATTGGACGAGATTTGGGAGAACGTCAAGTCATAAACCATGACTGACCACCACGCACGCACGTTGCTGTTACATGTAGCACCGACGGCGGATTTTATTGTAATTGTGCCGCGTGGTGTACTTACGTGCGCTTTTTTCTCTTCTGGCGATGCCGGCGATCCTTGGACACAAAGTGCCCGGAACTGCACATGGAACTGAAATGGGATCCATCGGTCGGCATCCGGCCTTTTCTTTTTTTGTATGCATTCTCCTTGTGAAGTGTTGGCAATGCGAATTCCATCGTCGCTTGAGTGTTTGTGCCTTCGAATCTTCTGAGCCGGCCTTCAAACTTCTTGTTGATAAGTCTCCGCGTTTCCTTCTCCGCGCATGAGTCACATACATGCCGTTAGTGCCTGCGCTTTGCTTCCGCGATGGGTCTTTTACCACCCCGTCTTGCAAATGTGAGTACTGATCGATCATTCGGGTGCCTCAGTTGTGTGTGATGGGAGTGTAGAGCAGCTCGGCCATGACGGGCCGTGGGGGTAGGTAAAGTTGTACAGGCGTGTGGAAAAACGTGTTGTAAAACGTGTTGTATTCATCGGGGGCGTGCTTGAGCTCGTCATTCCATCACGGCATCAAGTCACGCATAACGCTCAAACACCCAAAACGAATCTCCATGAATGTCCACCAATCTACCACACTCCCAAGGAAAACATAAAGAAACTTCTTGTTCCTCCGTAGTTNATACTATGCTACGAGTATATCGAATAGCCCCCCTGCTCGTATGCATCGTCATGCTCCGGCAAAATATCATAGTCATCCTTCTCATACCAGTTCATCCCAAAACACAACCAAAACCAAGAAAACGAAAATACTTCAGAAACGACACAAGTATCCAAATAGCATTCCAACACACGCCAATCACTCTCGCTCTCTTCTGAAAATTCTCTTTTCATCCAGAAAAATATGACGAACGCCGTTCAAGACGCCTTTCCTTTCACCGCCAATTCGTCACAATATCTCGGTGCGTCTCTAAATCCGCCTAGCTAGATATCCTACCATTACCAAGATGTATGCAATCCTAAGACAAATTATTCCATTAATCCACCAAACCTTCGTCCGCAGGTAAAACGCGAAGAAGTAATATCTCCCTGAAATACTCAAAATATATCATGAATGTTCGGTGAAGAAATGTCAGCAACGCCATTTCGTTTGAAAGAATATAACGTGCCCCCCTGCTCCGAGGATCCGCCCCCCTGCTTTGTGAAGGGGTCGGAGTCAAGCCGAAAAACAATAAGAGAGATGCCGAAAATCAAAACAACAGTACTACTTCTGATCCTCTCATCCACACTTCAATCAGATCTGAAAAACCAAACCCAAGCTTGAATCATACAATACAAACGCCAAGTCTCAAACAAAATCAAACTCAAAATGAACATCAATGCGCCTACTTTTCCAGCAATAAACCCCAGCGCATTGGACCACTGCCCCTGCCATTGTTTCTCCCCCGTGGATTTTCGCTCGCCTCCGCCGCGGTCGCCTTCTGTGCTCTTCGTCCGGCTGGCCGCGGCTGGAGCATCGTCAGCAAATCGTCCGCCTTCGTTGGGGGAGACCACAATTGTCGCTCCAGAAGGATTGACTCGGCAGCGGTGGAGGGCAGGTCGCGCGTTCGGAAGGGAAGATGGTGGCACAATCAGTTCCTTATAAAACAGCACTCCTGAGGAGAATCACATTCCACAACACTCCCCCCGGTTCTGCACAGGGGTGACTGCTGTACCAAAACAAAATGAAATACAGCAGTTGGACATCCAAAATTTCTCTTCTGCTCACCCCGTGTAACTTCAAGGTTCGTGTTCTGCCACTGAAACGGTCTTGAGTGATCTCTTCGGAGGAACGCATTTGGTGGATCTTGCTCCGCGTCATGCTGAGTACTGGCTCTTACTGCTGTCCTCTACGATCTAGTCGGGAATTCAGTTTTTGGGTCAACCTCGCTTCTTGGCTGAATGATGCCCCTGACTATTTTTCTCTGTGATCTAGTCGGAAAACGTCAGTCTTGGGGTCAAGTCTCGCTTTTCGCCGAGGTCCTGCCACGCATGCATATTGCTGTTCTCTCCAGCTAAATTCTACCCAACATCTCCTACAAACTTGCCATGAAATCCTTCGTGCTTGCGTCAAGAATTCTGACTGTCCTTCAAATGCGTAATGATGTCCACGCTTTGCTGTTGTGTCGGTGGTGACGTGGTAATCCCACAAAGTTACGCATCAATCTTTTTTCTTGTTACCGTACTGCTTTTGGTGGGATAAAAACCCCTCATACTCTTTGCATTGCACGATTGGCAACTGTACTCTTGGAAGCATAACATCCCCTCATACGTGCTGTTGGTGGCTTGATAACCCCTCACACGTTCAGATATCTCGTTCGTGACAACCGTACTCTCTCTTTCATCCCAACATCACACATTTCGCAGAATTCCGAACACAGGAAACGATTCAGACACAAGCCTAAAAATCTTTCGGAACACAAAACAAGGCCATATGCGCCTTCGGACAGAGGACATGATAATTTCATCACGTGCCTGAGCGGGTCTGGGACCCTAGTAGCAGAAGTGGTGCTGCTGTAATGCGCTGAGCCGCCCGTCGGGGGCTCGCGCGATGGTCAGGGGGATATCGTCCGCGGGCCGGGCGTGGTCGATGGTTCTAGGCGCGCTCCCTGCGTTATAAAGGAAAAATTGCTACGACTTTTTCCCCGTTTCGTTTCCTTCCTCGAAAGTCGTTTCCGTGCTAATGTGTGTCATTTTATCGCCGTCGACCTCCTTAACACTTGTGGATTACCTGTTGGAAGTTCTGGGGATCCCTTCATTCTGCGAGAGCCATAGGTCGGCATCCGGCCTTTTCATTTTTTTTTTAATCATTTTTCTTCTTGTGACGTTTTGCCGTTGCAATTGCCATCGTTTGTTGTGTCTCCAAACGTTTTCAGCCCGCCTTCAAACTTCTTCTTGATAATTCTCCGTGTTAACTTCTCCGCGCATGAGTCATATGCAGTTATGACCTGCGCTTTGACATTCACGATGGGTATTTTACCCCGTCTTGCATTCTTGAGTACCTGCTTCATACGGAAGGATTTCGTTCAAGTACGACTTTTTCCCCCTTCCTTGCGTTTCCTTCCCCTGTCCTTCGTTGCGTATCACATGCGTGTGATTTCTCGTCGTCGGCCTCCACGATTCTTGTGGATTACCTATTGGAAATTCTGGGGATCCCTTCACTCCGAGAGAACCATAGGTCAGCATTCGGCCTTTCCATTTTTTATATGCATATTTCTTCTCGTGAAGTTTTGCCATTGCGATTGCCATCGTCGCTTTATTAGTGTTTGTGTTTTCAAACCTTAAAAGCTGGCCCTCAAACTCCTTATTTACAAGTCTCTGTGTTAACTTCTCCGCGCATGACTCATATGCAGTTCTGTCCTGCGCTTTGACATTCATGATGGGTATTTTACCTTCCCGTCTTGCATTCTTGAGTACCTGCGTTATAGGGAAGGATCGTTCCAAGACGCAAACAAACGACGTCTTCGCCCTCGTTCCTTGCGGCGGTTTTCACACCGACTTCGAAGGTGGGGTGCAATTTCCTCTCTTCGTACCTTCCTCGTTGGCGTTCTCCATCGTCATAAACATAATGTGTACCTCCATTTTTCGGCTTTTCGAGTACCGATAGACAAGACTACGGAGTGACATGTCCCTTTCACCCCCGACGGGACCGCGCGTTCGTCAGCTCCGGGAATTCTTCACCACTTCCTTGCCTCTCCCAACACCGTCCCTTTTTCCCGCCCCTTCAAATCCTCTCCCGTCCTTCTACTTTTTTCCTTCTTCCCGGACACTCACCACCATCCGTCCTGGATGTTGGCCCCCAGCCCCGTTTGTGGGCGGGGGGCCAATCCTTAACCGTAGGTCAAAATGAGGCCCAAACCTTCACTTCTCTCGGTGGCAGGTTCGAGCCTCCGCACCACCGTTTTTTTTTCTCGTTCAATACACAGTTTCGGACTGGGGCTGCAAATTTTCCGGTTTAAGGAAGCAGATTTTGAAAAAGAAAGTTTCCTGAAAACTTCGTGCAGGTGAAATTTTTCAGATTTAAGCGGCTTTATGTGATTGGCTATTGGTCAACAGTCCTCCCACGAGCTTCCCCTGTCCGCAGGTGCTGTTGTTTTTTCGTGGTGCGCTGCGTGACGACAGCTAGCTGTGCACCTTGATGACAAGGGGCTCTCACTGCTGCTGCTGCTGTTTGAGTGTGCGTGCATGCGTGCGCGTGTCCGTGTCTGCGTCGCTCCCTCAACCCCAGTACACGAAATCGCACCACACCAGTACGGAGACAGGAAGTGATTACTGTACACTGGCCCACAGCCTCTGAACGAAGTGCTATGTCGCGTTTCAAGCGTTCGGGAGAGACACGGACGGGGGGGATGGGACCGGGAGGCATATCCGAGTCAAACGCTCTTTCTAGTAGACACCAGAGAAAGTACTGTTGCGCGCGGAAGGACGCGCCTGCCTTCACCAGGAGACCATTACGTGCTCTTCCTCCTCTCTGCTCTTCTTCTTTGTTCACTGGCGGTGCTACCACCACCTCCACGTTCGTGCGCCTTTCCTCCCCCTTGCCTCAATCTGACGGGCGTGTTGCTGACCTCAAGCCAGCCGCAAACAAGCCCAACTTTCTGACCGTGCAGCCTCCCTGTTTTTGTGTTGCTGGTGGCGCGCCAACTCCAAGGCCTTGCGCTGGGCGCCGGCCTCCTCGTTGGCCGCGCTGACATGTTCTCAGCAGACTGCTGTGTGTGCTTGCGGTGGTGCGTGTGATGTGTTACTTCGAAGCAAGTTGCTAAATCGAAAAATCGTGAAACTTTTTCCACAAAAGCCTCCCTCGGCTCTTGAATCCGTAACTTTTTTCCTTGTTGTGGGTTCTGGCGAGACTGTGTCAGGAGCGATCCTCAGAACAACGAGTTGACTCAAAATATGTTTCCTTTATTCGGAACATTTTCGAGTCCGAAACTGTCAACATAAAAAATACAGTATGTTTTTCATAATTTTTTCCCGCTTGGTCTCCTGGTCCAAAGTGGCACCGTTTGAGAGGGTTAAAATTGTTGGCATGACCAAAAGAGGTCGGAAAGTCAGATGGCTGACAGACATAATTAAAAGAGCATAACAAAAAGACAACTTCGCGCCGCGCATGTGCACTTCGAAGGTCAATTTTCGTGCAATTTTCCTTACTGAAAAAATATCTAGGGGGGATAATGACGACCCATCCCCGATCAATGTTGCAAGTTACGTTCATCAATCATACGTAGGCTGTAGGAATATTACCGTGAAGTTTTGCGGGCTGAAACCGATTCCACACTCACTCATAACTAGAAACCGGAACTTTATTTCCGTTTGGCCCAAATCGGAACTTTATGTCGGGACAGACTGGTACATCTTCAGTGCGGGCCCGCACTCAGAAAAGTCGGGGCCAGGCTCGGTTCTTACGTTGTCGCAAACTTCGAGCACATATAGGCGTTTAGACACAAAGCTTAGCATTGGGACCATGCGCTGACCTATGTGCCTCAACGATCTTATTTAGACTATTATACCCTCGGGAATCTGAGTGGAGTTTCTGACACATAGCAGGATATTTCTCAGATTCGGGCCCGTTCTGCTGTAGTACTACTCTGACCGCTTGTCGGGTGCCTGTGCCTGGCTCTACTAACCCCGTCTTGCCCTTTCCTTTGCAACACCTATCCTCCTACTGAAGCTGCGAGAGGCCGGACGGGCTGAGGTCGGCTTTTTGGAAGATGGTCAGAGCCGTCCCAAGAAATCCAGTAGAATGTACAAGTGCTGGCGCGTCCTTTTGCAGCCACCTATATACCGGCCGATAGACGTGCAGCCGATCAATACTTCGACTGCATCCTCCTTGTCGGAAGGGACACAAACAGCGAGGACAGTCGCACGCCCGAGAAGGTATGAGGCAGTCTGAGATGGTTGCTCCTACATGGGAGCTTCCTTAGAAAACTTGCGGGAGACAACGGTGGGGGGTTAGAAGACTGTTTGACTTGTCTACAACAGGGTTGGCGTTCGCGTGCTCCGCAAGTACATGTCAAGCCTGAACCCACCCACACACAGCGTGAGGCGAGTCATTTACCTAGTTTCGGCCACAGGGTCCTCACGCGACTGTGTTTGACATGCTCCTCGATTAATCAACTCACCCGTCAACTGTGTACCACACGACTCGCAGGTACTGTTGGTGATAATCCTCGGTGAAGACCGCATCTCGTGCGTCGACGACGAGCTGTTGGCGTCTTCCTTTTCAGATCTCTGCTGCTTTTCTTTATTTCGTTCTGGCCGCCGTAGTCCTGGACGTCATGTGTATCACTCTCCTGACTAACGAGGCCGCGCCAAACATGGCGGCTTGGACGTTCGAGGGGGACTTTCGCGTCCGGGCTATTGTCGGCCTGGTGGTGAACACGTGCGTCCCGCTCTCTTCGTGTGGAAGTGCCGCAAGAGCGACAAACTGCTAAGTTCGATCCGGGAGGTGTCTGCTGGTGGCCGAATCGGATCGGGTCATCGATAGTCGCCAATAGTCGGACGAACGTCGTCAAGAGTCGGGTCCCCGACTTACATGGCCCAGAATTTCCTCTTGTCTACAGTTGCCGTTGAGATTTGCTGGCGCGCAGCTTGCTTGTTTTGCTCGATTTTGTTCACGCTTTACCCATTGTGCGCGCTTGCGCTTTTGCAATATGATAGTAGGTTGTTGCTTTCCGCATGTCAATACCCGAAGAATATCTCTTCCACCCTGCCCAAAGGCCATACGTGCTGGATCCCGCAAACCTAGAGAGTGAAAAACGTTCGAGAGTTGACCGCCTGAACCATCTGGGCGATTTCGACATTGGGGGGTGCGATTTCTCTGCCAACGATCACTGTTGGACACACTAAAATTTGCGCGCATGTCACCGATGCAAGAACACAGGCACGACTTTGTTCGGCGAACCTCATCAATTATTGTACACCGCCAACAATAGTCCGTTGCGGAATACAGAATAAAGAGTGTAGATGATACACAACCATGCAAGGATCCCTGGGTAAGGGTACCACTGCCGTAATATGCGTAGAAAACCACAACTCAGATAAATAACTCGTTCGAAATTCTATCAATATGTAACACAAGTGGGTGTGTGTGCACAGTGAAATGTGGGAGGGGCGTCACTACTGCGTGGAGCTTCCCTCCACAAATGTGTCCCCCGTGAAAATCCATGGAAACCTGAAGAAATCCCGAAGAATGCCTTGGGATGCCAAATGATAATCCATGGAGCCCTACGGATAATTCTACGGGAGATTGCTTGGAACTGCCATAGAAATGCCACGAGCATCCTTGGCCACGGATTTCAGTGGCAAACTCCGATATTCAACGGATGTCTATTTCATTCCTTGGCAACCAGTGGTTTCCATAAAGCTCCATGTCATTCCACGGCAAGCCGTAGGTTCCACCGTGGAAGTCCATGGAGGTCGCTTGATGTCTGCGACATGTTCTACGGAGCGCCATATATTTTGCTGAGACTTACATGGGTCTCGATGGCGTTCCACGGCATGTTCGGTGGACTTGACAAATACGGTAGGTACTGCAGGCGGGTCTGATGTAGTTCTTGAGATGGAGATTTTCCTACAGTCGCCTTGTCCCACAACAGTTCCTTTTCCTCTCTACAGTAAGTGTCCATTCCCCTGCTACACGTCGACAAGCCACGACTCGGACACGTTCTTCGGAGGGTGCCACGCATGGTCGGGAAGATCGACGACCCCCCTGATACACGATGACCATTGATATTGACTATGTACCCCTCCCACGCACTGAAAATATGCTCCAGAATCGAACGGTACATAATTATTACTACGACAGTAGACTACAGATGGAACCCGTCAAGATAAGGAGAATATATGCAGTATCTGCGAGATCACCTTGTGCCTGCAATTGGTCCACTTCAATCTCCTACGAGGATGGTAATACCTTGCTGACCAAAGAAAACATCAAGCAAATGCCGACAACAAGTCAATGACTAGTATTTCAACCTTCAGCACGAGTGATTCTGTAGACGTTGCTGATCGCCATTCATTCGTTGATGACAGCCGTTGGTGGGCAGTACTCAGGCGTGACCAGCAGGGAACAGCTCTAGACTAGTTGATCCCCGCTCTACAGTCAATTCGTAGCTCAATGGCACAGCGACAGCAAGCTGACGGGATGACACGTAGTGATCAACATTGACCGGCACCGATCCGCAGCGATGAAAGATCAATCCTACCGATACCCGCTTGAAGGCATAGCATGGGAGGAGTCGGGTTTGGTACAATTGCGAAGTTAGGATACTGATCGAGCATGATGAGTGGTGACCGGACTGCAAGACAGCGCGGGGCCGTGGCTATTCTGAGCAATACTGATCTGTTGCGAGGACGGCAGTTACATACTGTGCTGTATCGATCAAACAAATGCACGGACATTTGTTGCGGTTCAACAAAGAACGGCCTGATCAAATAGTCGCTGATCGGTTCAACCCCAGTCTCGATGAAAAATCCACAGGCTCACCCAGCGCAGTCTATCCCGTCACACCTCTCACACTCTGGACACGCACATCCGCATCAGACACCAGTTCCCTGCACCAAACCAGCAACACCAACCGACTCGCTAGCGAAGGATGGGTATTGGGTCTCGTGTCGTCGGTCTCCTACGTGTGCTCAGCACCTTCTCCGTGTCCGAAACGCCGACAAAGAAAATTGACAGGTGGGTGCCGCGCCGCTGACTGCGCCCCGGACTATTGTTCCGGCGCTAACAAACGAAACTAAGCGCGCATTAACAACGCGTTGTACATGGATACCGTCCTGAACGAGCTCCTTCAGCCGAAGCAACCTTATTGTCGCGGCTCCGTGCTGTTGCGCGAGCTCTCTGTATGCTTTGAGCAGGGTGTCAAGGCTTTGAGCATGGCAAACCCCGTTCCTCCTCTGTCCTAACGCTTGAAGAAATTATTCCCGCAGCATTAGAAGCCTTCCACGCCAGCTGCACTGGCGAGGAATGCTTCTGATGCTGCGGGGAAAATCGCTTCAAGCGGTCGGATGCGGAGCTGTTGCAATGATGATCTCCTTGGCCTGGGTTGTTCTCTTAAAGCGGTGCGCGGCACTGTCATTATTTACATGACAGTTTCAGAACTGCAGGTCATGGACACTTGATGTGCACTACATAGTGGACAGCGCAATTTTTCTAATCTCGCCATTCTGTAGCCGATGATACAGACATTTTTCTCTGAGCTTGAGACTTGAGACACTTTTGGCACGTTGCTCTTCTCTCCCTACTGGTAGGTGCCGTTCCACTGTCGCCATGTATCCGACAATTTCGGCCCAGGTGTTCAAGTGTACAACCCGCGGCATATAGGCGATAGTATCTGGTGTCGAGGGTGATGTGCTTCGACGCGCCAAAACTCAATTTGTCGCTTCGAATGATCGTTGCCCTGTGCGACTAAGCGAAGTATCGTCAGTGCATTTACATGATACTTGATACTGATACGCTTATTCTGTAGACTTACATGGACTTTACCATTGAAAACAATTGATTTGATCTGGACGCTGTCGCTGTCTGATGCCCAACGTCCGGTCGTCATAACGTTGCTACAAGGTCGGAACGAGGTGATGGCGAGGTGAAGCACCGAGTTGGGCACGGCGATGCCACGAGCGCGGCCGCCATGTCGATAGTATCGCCAACGCCTGTGGAACACCTGGGACGGTCGGCGGTGCCGGCCCAGTCGTTGACGATGGCAGACGCTGTCTCACTTGCTAGTTCGGCATCTTCAACGGCGTCGTTGCCTACTGTTGATGACAGCGGGGTGAGCAAGACGGGGGCAACGTTGTTAAACAATGCCACCTATGGGTCTGATCTGTAACGAACACCAAGCAGGGTGGGTGTGACTCTTCAGTGCCCTGTGCAAATGTGAATTCCACCTTCGCTCGAGCGACAAATGAGCGTTGTATGGCGTGATATCGATGTATGCGACCCTCACCGCGTTCGCACGTCTCGCCAAAAGCAAGAACACCAGGTGATACAATCCGTGCAGCGACGATGGACACGAGAATCCACTCGGTCGACGACGTCGGCGATTTTACGACTCCGAGAATAAACTGATGAAAACCGTTTCTCTTTGATACTTCTATGTAGCGCGTCACCGTATCCCAAGGCCACTCGTGAGGTCGTCGCGAAAAGACCTGACGAATGCAATGCACCCATTTCTGCGATCAACAAGAGATCGGATGCCTTTTTTCTGAATAGCCCCGATCTCAACAACATCAGTGTCAAGACCCTGGCTGATACGTCAAACCTATTGTCGACACCGAGAGGTGCGTAGACTGGCGCAAAAGGAAATGGGGCGAACACAGACAGTTTGAGACATGCAGCTTTCTTCTGTATGCTATCCCGTAACTATCTGGAATCCGGGAAGTACCATACACAGCCTCCCTCATGACGCCACCTCTCGGCGCCTGATCATGGTCTTTACAATTTTTTTGGTGTCTTCATGGAGAGGGACTTACTCTCAATGGTCAGTCGATTACACGTGCGGATGCCAACAAAAAAAATTATCAGCCTCCTCTACAGAAATGAATTCACGGTCTAGTAGACAAAATATTCTGTTTTGTGTTGTGATAAGATCGACGTGGTACTACTGTAGATCCCGTTTGTTAGAAAGGCTTACCCCATTAGACTACTCAGTCAGCCGCTGACTGAGTAGTCTAATGGGGTAAGCCTTTCTAACAAAAGATACACTCTCGGCTCGTAGCCACCCGGCTGGTCACTGGGATGTTTAGAAGTATAGACTAGATCTCCGGGGATGGACCCCTCACCAGGCGCTGCAGGAAAAGAACTAAGCGTGCTTGTCACAGTGAACATCTGGGATTCGAACCCGTGCGAGTATCACGTGCTTGTAGAGGCTTGCCCCATTAGACCACTCAGTCATCCTCTTAGTGTATCTTTTGTTAGGAAGGCTTACCCCATTAGACTACTCAGTCAGCGCTGACTGAGTAGTCTAATGGGGTAAGCCTTTCTAAAACCGTTGTTGACCCAAAACCGACAACTGGAGTGCGATCTCAAGCAATAATTTATAATGCGTCTCCCGCGGTCTCGACCACGTTCACGTCTGTCTCGGCGTGTTTCCCAAACGCACGCCATCATTCGGCTCTACCAGGGGCAGCACACGAACAACTCGGTGACCTACACCACCATGGCTAACGGACAGCACCACGAAGTCACAACGAGGAGGACCCCCTGGATGTGAGGCGTTAAGCGAGACGGTTGTCGATCATCACCCGTTCCGCATATCCTGTCACACCGGGGAATTTTCTAGCTGCTCAAATTTACGCTTGTCCTAAGTAGGAAGGAGTGCACGATAGGTCCAACCACCACGATATATCAAGGCAAGAGGATATTCCCGCTCCAACAGTTGTATCTCGCCAGCTACGGCCCAACAAAGTCATCGACTCTTCGGGACCCGCGAAGACGACATATATATTCCGCGGTAGAATTCTTCAGATGTCGCAGGTACACAGATTGACCACACTACTACGGGAATCGCAGACAATAGTGCTGTCGTTCCTCGCACTGACATACAAGAACGGTCAAGCTCGAAACCCAAACGATTCTCCCCTCTTCTCTCCGCTGTTCCCACCCGCATTTTCCCTGCATTGCCGACACGTTATGTGGCCCGGCATGTACAGTAGTAGCGCTGGCGTAGCGATCCTTGTTCCGGCATTCTTGCCAAGCCAGCACTTGACCGTGACCGCAACCGGAAAGATCAGCAACTGCATTTCATCGGCGTCGAACGGGACGGGTTCCCAGCCGCATGCGTTTCTTGACCCATCGTCGCCGCCAGTTGCTCGTTTGCGCTTCCTTTCGTACTCGTCGAACTCCTCGATGACTGTTTTTCGATTGAAATTGTCTCTAAAGTATACTGCAGATGGGTTCACGGTTTGCGACAGTTGCCGGTGTCTCGCTAATCAGTCCACGTGTGAACGTGATCAACATATGCAGATGATTAGTCAAAGCGACGCACAGTTGCTCCTGAAACAGCCATCCAAAGGTGGCACCGCCAAAGACTCGCCACCAAGGCGCATTTTGCTAGCCTTTCACTACCCCCCCCCCCCCCCCC